AGTACCCAAACTCAAGTACTCGTATTTGTACTCAGTCTTGAAAAAACTGGTATCGGGACACCCCTAGTTAAGAGTGTGTGAGTGTGTGTGCAGTGTTTGTAGTAGTGTTGTTTGTAACTCTGTGTGTCAAAATGAGTCGTCGTTTGACTGTGGAGGAAGCTAGCTCTGTGTCCTGAGTGCTGAGCAGAGCTGTGTMGCATTTTCCTGCATATAAATCATCATTTCTGATTAGATTTCACTTGTTCCTATGACAATGGCTCAGAAAGTAAGAAAACCCCCTCTTTGACTTCAAACTATTTCTAAAGACTTTTGCATGGAACTTCCTTTGCGGCTCGAATTAACATCTCTCATACAAACCCCCACCAGACGTCCTGACACCTTACCGTTAATAGATAAGAATTGCCACATTCCTGAACCCCCACAAGTTCGAGTGACCATAAGGACTGTCTGTTTGTTCCATCTTCAAAAGGACCATAAATGCCTTTAACCAGACTCTTCGGYGTGACTGAGAACAAAGAAATCTACATTCTTCATTAAATGTGAAAAAAAGGAGAAAAGATAAAGGAATCTGTGTATCTAATGTTTTCTGTCTTATTGCAAAGAATGTCATTAATCCATTTTTCTTACAGAAAAGAACTAAAAAGACCATAAAAGATCTACTAAGTTTTGCTTAGTTAACTATTCAATAGCTGTGTGTATTGTGTTTAATTGTTTACAGATGGACTCCTGAAGAAGATGTTTCTTTTATTTCATGATTTTAAACAGTGTGTGTTTTATTCCATGATTTAATCCTTAGAAACGTAGGACTTGAATTTTAATAATTAACTGACAATTTTATCCCTGAGGCAAAGCCCAAATAGTTCCTCTCTCCCTTTTAATTAGATGCAAGATAATTAAACTAAAACACTCCCTTTTTCTTTGTCCTGAAGTTTCCCTCCAAAACAGATTTGATTTGTTAAAAAACTTTTCCTGTATAAGGTGCAACATTTTTATTGGCCTACTAAAAACTTGACTCCGCCCATAACCAGGGATGGGCAGTAACGCGTTAGAAGTAACGCGTTACTGTAATCCGATTACTTTTTAAAGTAACTGGTAAAGTAAGGGATTACATTAGCTAAAACAGTAACGAGATTACTGTTACTTTCCCGCAAACAAGCTGCGTTACTACGTTACGTCTCATGACAATGACGTATGAGAGGTGCGACATCGGCGGTAAACAAACATGGAGGACAGGAGAGAGCAGGAGCATGCAGCGTTTCATTCTTGGAAGTATCGACATTATTTTCAGTTTGACTCCGTAAAAAGCGATAACAACATTAGTGTCCGCTGTACACTCTGCGTGGGAAGAAAACTTTTATCTACAGCGAAAAATTCCACCTCAAATCTGAGCAAGCACTTGGCCAGCCGCCACTGTAACGTGAAACTCACAGAGAAACTCCTGGATACCCCCACTGACTTCACCACTGTGGCTACCACATCCAGTTTCATCAGGCAACCATCCGAAGGCCCTTCTCCTGCTAAACAGGTAAAAATAGATTTAAAAGCGACAGGAGGACTTAGTGCCGCTGAACTAAAGAGGCTCGTCGCTGCCTATGTTGTTGAGGACATGCTGCCCATTTCCACTGTAGACTCTGAATCATTTCGACAC